TACTTGACCGTCTAAATATTTAAATAATTTTGTTTGAGCAACCTTATAACTTTAATAATTTTATAACTTACCAACATTATTACCAGGCACAAAATATACCAAGTTAAACTTCGCCGGTGACTGGGTATAGGTGATGTTGCCGGCATTTATTCCCAAGTTAATATTGGTGCTTTAAACGAAACAAGTTATAATTAGCATTTACCATGATACTATTAACAATATATACCCTAAAGTCACGGATCTGAACTGGACATTAATTGTATTGTTATATCCCGATGATGTCAGGGTCATATACGGACATTTGACTGCGGTGTTTGTATTATTAGGGGCGATTGCCAATTCGTACCATTGCCCTAATAACTAGAAAATATTTTAAATGTTAGCTTGTTAAGTTTAAGAGCATATATTAGGTTAATATTACCGAGGTAAAATTTGCAGAGGGCATTCCAGTTACATTCGGGCATTGGGGTAACGTGCCATTTGCGGTGGACCCGGTAGTCTGTGCCAAAGTGTAGGTATAAAATGTAACTGATAAAATAACGTACATGCACAACATTTTTAATTTATAAAATATAACAGTTAATTTTATTTAATGAATAAAAATGTTTTAGATGTTTATACAGTATATTATTAACTTATTAAATATTAAATGCTAGCTTGGGAATGTTGTATTTATACCTACAAAATTGGTTTTAGTCACCTTATTTACTTAATAAAATTTAACATTGTCATTTGAATTTCATTTAACCGGATTTATTTTATTTTATTTTAGTTGCAATACCAATGTAATATCAAAAATAATATTTTTACATAATATTAATGTGTAATGTTTTAGAAATTCTTAAAATAAAAAATAAAATAAAATAAAAAATAAAATAAAATAGAAAATAAAAATATTACTAATAATATCGCAATTAAATTAATTAATCTAGACAATTTATTGGCTATAGATTAAAACTTCATTTAAAATAATGAGATTAAGTATAAACAGCACATTAAAGTTAAAAAGATTTAAACATTTCTAAATTAATCTATTAAAACAAAAGCAGTATAAATTATAACTTTATAAGTGAAGCTCACCATGCTATAGCGATCTAAGTATTTTTGAATGTAAATTTTTTTCTGGTAGTTAAATAAAACTTAAATAGCGGATTTAATTTACCATTATATATTTTTATTTATTAAATAATCATATTTTTAATTCAATATTAATGTTAAATAAACATTTATAATATAAAATTAAATAAAAGTATTATTTTTAGTCACAATTGGATAATCTATTATATGATTTGTGTATTGATTACAGTTTACATTTTGTGATATTTAGTTCACTATAGCATAATCTCACCCAATTGTTTAACATATTTTTGTGTTTAGCAGAGCATGGGACTGACTTTTTGGCACACTGGGCAAAATATGACCAGAAATAACATAGCATTCATAAAAGCTATGAAATATCCGATAAAAAACAATGAATATTTAGCTCAAAATATATCGTTATATTTGTGTAATTTGGTGTGAATTCTAGTCAAAGATTTAATAATTTTCATGAGTTTCTGATAAGTGAGTTTAGATATAAATTTGCCTGATAACTCATCTATAAAGTCATTAGTTTCCCTGAATTTAATCCGGATATAATGACAAAGTATATAGAAATACAGTACGTGATATTCCAGTGCAAAAACGTGAACCGTATAAACTGCTCAGGGCATATATGACACTCCAGGGTAAATAATAAACTCGGTTACTGTCATGTTCATGAATAATGGCACCAAAGTAATGATCCAGGCAAAAAATACAATACAATAGTGTTACACTTGGATATATGCCAGCAAATACGGTACCGGTATATAAGCCTCAGTGCTTGTTGTCTATTAGTTAGATCTATACTTCCCGGGGATGCATGTCCAGCAAGCATCCAGAATATCTTAATATACGCCAGATCCCGGTGCCGTAGGCTTACCCAGTAATAAGTCATTTGCGTACTCAATGCCAGACCATAATACATGCAAACACCTAAATTGAACTGTACTTGAACATTTAGAAAGTGAGAGTAGTCAGCCAGGTAGGTAAATAAATGCTTTTTGTGTGCAGGTATAAATATACCATATAGTGAGCGAATAGTGTTTACAATTAAAACAATAAATATAAAGTAAGGGCTATATATAAAAACCCTTTTATGATCAGTAACCCGGGTAAATGATAGGCCCCGGGGTTAATGAGTGTATATTTGAGACCCTGGTGATTGAATACAAAATTCACTTGGTAATATAATTTAATTATATTTATTGTAGCTGATACTTTGTTATATTTTATTTTAAATTTTAGAATAACCATTATTATAATTTCTTAAATTCTAAACAATTTTAGATTCAATTTAATACAATATTCCTTATATTACAAGTATGCCCGGTGTGCCCAGTGTGCCCAATGTGCCCAGTGTTCCCGGTGTGCCCGGTGTGCCCA